GTATGATTGAATCAGGCAAAATAGTTGCAACGGGCTTGCAAACTTTTCCTATCACTTGAGCTCCTTTGGAAGATGGCATGTCTCACAATGTGTTCCCCTAACAGAGGAAACGAGAGTCGGAGAGTGAAAGTGAAGAGACTGTGACTCCTCCATCCCCTGCCACCCCACCACCAGAGGAGCTGAGCAAAAAGGAAAAGAAAAAGAAGAAGAAAGAGAAGAAGGCCAAAGAGGCAGCTGAGAGTGGGGGAGAGCAATTAGAAGTGGTATGTAACTGGGTGCTGCTATGGTAGCCCAACTATGGGAGAGATTGCTGTCTCTCCTTAATACCTCCAGGATAAATGTATCAGCATTCTGTTTGTGCATGTCCCTAAAGTGCCAGGCTTCCCGCAGGCAGAGAAAGATGTCTGTGTAGGTGCATTTGTAAACTGAACTTACTGAGGGTGGTGGGAGATCAGACAGGTGATGCTTGTGGGGGTGGATCTGCAGTGGGGGAGGGATGGGGTGAGCAGTCATCTGTGCCCTGGGGCAGTTGGTGGGTACACATTCTTGCCACACCACCTCTGTGCTCTGGTGCCCTGTGACGGGCCCTGGTGGGAGGATGATGCCTGGTACCGTGCTGGCATTCAGTCAGTGTGCTTGTATGGTGCTGAGGGAGGATTGCAGCCATGAGGAGCCTGCACTGTCTGGAGTGGGACTGTTCCTCCTGACATGAGCAGTGGGTGATTCCTTTTTTGATTCCTTCCTGACCTCTCCAACCTCTTCACAGACCAGTGAGACCAGCACCAAGAAGAAGAAGAAGAAGAAACAAAAGGAAGTAGAAGAGAGCTCAGAGTAAGCTACTGGATCTGTCCAAAGCAGGCGACCTCATCAGGAGGGAGGGAGGAGTTTGAGGCCTTGAGAAAGGGAACTGGCTGCATGGCAGAGGGGCCAACAAGTTCCAAGTACCTTTTCTGCTGTGTATACAAGTGAGTGGGTGTGTTTGCCCAGGATATGCCCTGCTGAGGTACCCCTCATCCTGTTTTATGGGTTGCCAGAGGAGCTGGGTGCCTGACTGCCCCTGCACTGGATTGCTCTTTAAAGCTGAACACCATGATGCCAATAGAAGTGGAATCATCAGGGAAGCTGCAGCTCCTGGCTTTTACTTGGTGTCTCTGTTTTCACCTTGGGAGGGAGGAATAACATTTCTTCCCCCTCTTGTCCTGCCTCTTTCTTCATTTTCTTCCAAGGCTGGAGCTGTTACCTTGCAGTTGCAGAATGCGTTGGTGTCCGGTGGACTGGCTTTGTCATGGCCTGTTTGAATGGGGACAGTTAAATCAGTTATTTGAAGGGCTCTGGTTTGTTTTAACCTGGCCATATGTTTGGCTTGACCCCCAGTTAGATGAGATCATATAGTCCACCCAGCTATTCAGTAGTTTTTAAACTTTGTGATAAAAGGATTAGAACATTAAATTCCTGCTTTTCGCTTTATAGTGTGGGGACCTGCTTGTTAGTGGCTGGCTGATCCCCAGACCCAGCGCCCCAGTGACCTTGTCAGTCTGTACCTCTTGCTGGCTCTTTGCTCTTCTTTACCCAGTTGTTGGAATGGGACTGCAGCACTTTCAGTTGCCTTCCCTGGTTTTGATACCTGATATGTTCTGAAGGCTCAAAGTGAGGATGCTGCTGGAGGGCAGAAGCAAAATGACCAGAAGGCAACCGGCCAGTATGCTTTTCTGAAGGGCTATTGGGGAGTGAGGAAAAGCTTGGCTAGAGGCAGCTCTGCAAGGGACACTGGGTGTGGGCCTTGAGTGGTTTCAGAAAGACTTGTCCTAATTTCCTTATCTGGGGTGGCCCACTGGGGGCAGGAGGTCTCCCCTCTGTCACAGGGATAATGCTGAGCCAGGATTTTAGCCCCTTTTAATGGGGAAGAATCCAGGCTGCTTTGTTTGGAGCTTCATCCTTGCAGAGATTCTGTAATGTTTGCCTTAGCCTTGTGCATTGCTTTTGTCTTAACTGTCTGACTTTTCTCCCTTCCAATGCTAGAAATACACGCAGGCAGTGGGGCCAGCAGCTGGTGGCTGTCAGAACCTGAGCAGAAAAAAGTCTGGTTTTATTTACTCTTTTTTTTAACATAAAAATAAAAGCCCTATTTTTCAATGGGTGATTTGCTTGCTCATCTGGCTCCTATAAGAGGTCGGTGGTCTGTTCATGGGGAGGAGAGGCAGCTTAATGCATGCGCATGCTGCAGCTGGGCAGGTAAACGGTTGCCCCTTCTGCTCACACTTTGTGCTGCTCTCCTGAAGAAGCTGCTGGTGCAGAGAAGTGGCTGACATGGATCTTCACTACAGGGGCCTTTGTTGCTGGTGAGGACTTCACAGGTGCCTAGGGGCTACCCTCCACTTCTGTAAAAGCCACTGGGATATGTGCCTGGAAGGTGGGTGTTCTCTTTCCTCCTTTGCCTGTGCTGGAGTGAGCTGCTGGAGAAGTCTGATGGTAGCTGGAGGGACTGTTTGGTCCTGGCCTGCCTAACCTTGAGTGTGTTAGGGTCAGGGAGGTGGGAACAGCCTTCCAGCTGTGAGCAGGTGCTAAGCCTAAGAGGTAAAACACCAGTCATGGTAATGTTTCAGCATGTTTATTGCTGCTCATTGTTTCCCTGCAGTGGATCAGAATGAAGATTGCACATCAACAGATTTTATTTTTAGCATCCTTAAAAAAATTGCACAAGACTTCTTAACCCCCTTCCCCCTAGATGACTGCTGAACACATAAATGAGATTCTTTCACTTAAATGAAAGTGGCTATGGTTTGCCCAGGAGCCATGGTGATGCTTCCTGGACATGGTCATGGTGGGGCTTGTGTGTCAGTACACTCCTGCAGAAGAAGGAACCTCTTTGTGTGGGTGGCTTTTACATTTGCATAGAGTGCAAGACACGCTAGACTCTGGAAAACATGCATGGATGATTTTTGTTAGAGACACTATTTCTACTGCATGCAACAGATACTTGTGGCTGTATCTAATTTACCTATTGAATGGTCCCTCTGGGGTTTGGTCTGTGGGACTTCCTCAGCTGCTGCTGAGTTTCTCCAGCCAGGTGGCAACAATCCAAGCTGCATAGTGAGAATTTAAATATAGCAAGGTTTTACAACTACAGTTGCACAGGGTGAATCAGAAAACTCAAACCTCAGAACACTGGGTGAGACCTGCCTGTGGGTGATGTGCTGCACCCCACCTTCCTCGAATACACGCTTGCCTTTTTCTGGCTTTCCCCTTTTGTGAGAGGAAACCCTTGGATGTAGGAGTTGTGGTGTGGTCTGTGTGAAGCCTCGTGTACGCCAGCTAGGCTTTTGAGGTGTTTGTGGCACAGTGTGCATTCCCGC